AGGCATCAGTTCTCCTTCTATCCTCCTTGGTCATTGTCCAACTCTCTGATGCATAACAGGTGATTGCGAAGACCATGGCCTGTATCAGACACATGACTACATGCACATTATAATATATACATATAAATAATACATATACGGCATAGACTATACAGAGTTGCACTGCTAAACGTAAACCAAAGATCATTTTTTTTTGTCTCAGTTCAAATAATGAGCAGCTTCATGGTAGAGATGGGCAATCGCCTCTCATAACATTTACAGCTTTTGAAACCTAATAGAAGGTTACCTAGGAGTCAATTCCAGCTCGAAGTGAGGAGAGTTACAAATGGGATCCCTGGTTAGTGGTTCAAACCAACAGCCTCTCCAAGAGTCTGATGTCCTGAACATTGGAAGGAGGCTGTAACATCAGAGTTGACACAATGGCATTGAATTATAAGGAACCTGAAGGCACCTTGGTAACACAAATGGTAAAGTGGCTACTAACCCAAAAGATCAACAGTTCAAATCTGCTCAATGATTCTTCAGGAGAAAAGATCTGACAATCTGCTCCAGGAAAAAAACTAGTGTGGGAAAAAAAAACCTTGAAGGAAGTTTTACTCTGTCTTGTGGCATCACTAGAAGTTGAACTCATCTTGACTTCATTAATAGCAGAGAGAGAGAGAGACAGAGAGAGAGAGCAAGAGAGGAGAGAAGAGAGAAATGATGGATGGATGGATGGATAGATGATAGATAGATAAAGAAGGACCAACAGATGGATAGCTGGATAGAAAGAAAGAATAGTAGAATCCCTACGTGATGTAATAAACAGTTGGTGCTGGACAACTAACCTCAAGGTTGGTAGTTTGGACTCACTAAGAAGTACAGTGAAAGGAAAGACCTGGTGAACTGTCTTCTGTTAAGAATACAGCCGAGAAATTCATATGGAACACTTCTGCTTTGTAACACTTGGAGTCCCTGTTAATGAGAATTGACTCACAATCTCCAACAGCTGTATTGCCTATGAGGCAATTCACCTTTTTCCATGAAGGTTGGCTATGGGCTGATTCAACAAGCGTGTAGTGGGTACTTGTTAGTTGTTGCCAAGTTAATTCTGGCTCATAGCTACCCAATGTGTGCAGAATAAAACTAGTTCATAGGATGTTCAAAGCTGTGACCTGGGAACTTTTTAAAAGCTGATCACCAGATCTGTCTTCCAAGGGTGCCTATAGGTGGATTTACAGAACCAGCCTTTCAGCCAGTAGTTGAACACTTAATATTTGCTTCCCATTTTAGTACCACTCATTCATCTCTTAAGCTTATTCTCATCTTCAAAGTCATTTCCCTGCCCCCAATCTTTAGTTATTAACATCCCATTTCCATAATAGAAGTATTCTTTTCGTTTAAAATCTTTAAGTCACACACATACGCACATGCATGTGTATATCGAATTGTTCAGTATTTTCCAAGGCCAGAGAGAGTTATTTCTAAAAAGCCTTTGCCCTTGAATCTAGTTATTTAAAGAAGTTTAATGATGTAAGTAAGTAGTCTTGGTGTTGTAGAATTCTGCTTGTTTACCCCAAGGTTGACAGGGAGATAACAGAGGCATTCTGCTCTCATACAGATTCACAGCCTTGGAAACCCTATGGGGCAGTTCTACTCCGTCCTGTAGGGGCATGTGGTACCATAACTGACTTGACAGCAATGGCAATGATTTAAACTAAGTCAATATGTGGTGGTGGTGGTGGTGGTGGTTGTTAGGTTCTATCGAGTCAAGTATGACTGATAGTGGCCCATGAACATCAGATCTGAACCGTGTCCTGTTCTGTGCCATCCTCACAATCTCTTGTCACCCTCAAGCCCACCGCTGCAGTCACTGTGTCAATCCCTCTGCTTCACCATATAGTGTGGATAAAGTGTTATGCTTATATTTAAAGTTTTCCACAATTTGCAAATAACTAAGATAATGAATGTGTATGTCTGAATCCCCAGCTTGTGAATGTGACCCTGATGGAACCTTATCTGGTGGCATTTGTGTGAGCCACTATGACCCGGCTTTGGGGTCTGTCACTGGCCAATGTTTGTGCAAGGAGAACGTGGAAGGGACCAAGTGTGACCAGTGCAAGCCCAACCACTATGGACTTAGTGCCCAGGATCCGCTGGGCTGTCAACGTAAGTCAACTGGGGCAGGTGCACCAGCCTACACGTGGTTCAAAGATTGGGGATGTCTCTGTGGGCTCTAAAATTCAGTAACTCTAAGTATATAAGAGTCTTACTAGACTGTGGCTTTTTAAAAAATTTTATTTTATTAATTTTAATGAACATTTACAGAGATTTTGGCTTTTTAAATCTCACAGGCGTTTTGCAAACTTTAGGAGTTAGTGGGGACCGTCTCTCACTAGTTTGCTGGATTTATCCTAAAAGACCAGCAGGGGGAGTTAACTTTTTCTCCACTGGAGAGAAAGCTGTGGAAATGCTGAGGAAAGAAGGCAGCACTGTGAAAGCCTTGGAGAAACTGCCTCCACCAGGACTCTCCCGAGAGCTCTGTATAGACTCATTACCTCGCCTCACTGAGCTCTGGATAGATAGTGGCTTCTTAGGCAATTTCTAAGTACTGGATTCTTTTCTCTTTTTGAAAATCATCTTCCCCTTAACTGTCACACTCTTCATTGTATTAATCCATACATTCTTTGACAAAAAGAATGAAATTGCCAAGAGAGGGAGGAGTTGAGAGAAACTGGAAGAGCCTGGGCAGTTTTCCAAGGCCCAACTCTTGGCTATAGGATGAGAGACATTTTGAGCCGCCTACAGCCTCCTAGGGCTTAATTTCCTCAGGAAACACAGTAAATCATTTCCATTTGGTACTGGAGTCTTGCTCCATGATTTTGCCCTTATAAGGAGCTGTGAACTCTTTACATGTTGAGAGTACAACATTCTGCATCTTTCAGTAATAAAGTGCTGCCTCTTTTTAGATGGATTGCAAAATTAAATTTCATGATAATGAATTATGATTGAGTCCATTTCCTTCCTTTTGTCCCACCCTCCAGGTGGACACTGGTTCTTTCGGTTTGGTGAATAACCTGATGTCCTCCTCAGAGGGCAAACCAAAGGTTGTTTTGTTTTGTTTTGTTTTGTTTTGTTTTGTTTTATTTTGTTAAGTGCCTTCAAATCCTCAGAACCATCTGAGATAGAAATCCTTCCCTAAAACTAGTTCCTGGAATTTGGACTTAGAGACTCCTAAACCCAAGAGAGACTGGCCACCTCATTAAGAGACTGGCAGCAGTGTGAGGCATCAGAGAGATTGAGACCTAAGCCATCATATCAAGGACTGGATAGGGAGAGGGAGGTGTTGAATGGAGTAGCCAGGAATGGAAGGAGGATGCTGGCGGAGCAGGGAAAAGAATGGGTCAAGGCTGGGAGAGCAACACTGAATCTATTGGTTATTTCTATAATTGAGAAATGTCCTTCATCTGTTCCTTTCTATAAAATACTTGTCTGTCAGATACTGTCCAAAGCTGACCATTCAAACTAAGACAGACTAGGAAGAAGGATTGGCCATCCACTTCAGAAATAACAGGCCTTCGAACCCTGTGTACAGTGTACAATAGAGGTGGTTTTATGTTTTGCTTTGTTTTCTTTGTTAAGATACAGTTCACAGATGATACAGTTTACCCTTTAAAGTACTTATTTGGGGTTTTTAGTTATGTTTACAGAGTATGCAGCCAACGCCAGAAACCACCTCTTTACTCATTTATTCATTGACATCGAGTTGGAAACAATTCTTAGCCAAACCTCCAGTGGGTTTTCTGAGGCTGTAAATCGCACAACAGGAGATTGTCTGCTTTCTGTCACAGAGCAGCTCTCTTGCAGAGCAGCTGGTGGATTTGACCTGTCCGTCTTCTGGTTGATAACCCAACACTTTACCCACTAGACTACCAGAGCTCCCCAGAATCCATTTAGGAATATTTTTATCACCTTGGAAAGATTTTTTTTTTTTATCACCTCCAATCTCCATCCACCCATAGCTCTAGGCAATCACTAATCTACCTTCTGTTTTCATGGATTGGCCTATTCTGAATATTTAATATAAACGGAATCATGACATTCAAAGCCTTTTAAATGTAGTGTATTTCACATCCCTAACGTCTTCACGGCTCTCCATGCTGTAGTGTCAGTACCTGCTGTATCGGTACTTGCCTCCATTTGTAACAATGATTTTTCGTTACATGGGTAAGCCACATCAATTAGGGGGTTCTGGTCGTACACACCAGAGAATTGCACTGCTTACCCAAAGGCTGTGCCTCTCTGGCAGTTCTAACAGCAGCTCTACAGGAAAATTACAATCTCCTTCAATGGGATTTATAGCCTCAGAAACTCAACGGAGGGTCAGCTGCAAGTTGGTGAAGAGAAAACAGGAATGAAAGAGAAAGAGAGAGAGTCATCAGTTGGTAGGCACTTGGATTGTGTTCTATGAATATCAGCCTTTCCTGGAGAGGAAATCAACACGGAGCATTCTGGTAGCATCATTTTTTTCAGCTTTCACAACACAAGTAGTACTCAGTGATGTTTGTTGATAAAGGAGACAGTGAGGGAGAGGAGAAGGGGAGCTGGTGAAAGGGGAAAATAATAAGACAACAAGAATGAGAGAAGTGATCAGAGCATCTGGCAGAGAAGGAATCATGATTCTCCTGGCCTCGGCCCCTGAGTCATCCACCCTAGCCATTGTCACCTGGGTTAACGGTGCCAGGGTCCCCAGCACACATCACTTCCTGTGCTCACCTGTCTCCTCTTAATGGCCATTCAATAGAACAACACGAGGGCTCTGGCAGTGTATGGCACTGGATTTCGGGTTTATGTAGAACACTAACTGTGCAACCCATAAACTCGGCAGCGCAGGCTGCTCTCCTTTCTCTGGGCCACGTGTTTTGCTAAATGGAGACGACTAAAGATGTTATCAAAATAAGAATAACCGAGGACACTGTGCTTTCAGCCTGCAACTGTCACCCCCTGGGGACCCTGCCGTTCTCGACCTGTGATGTGGATACTGGCCAGTGCTTGTGCCAGGCGTCTGTCACCGGGCTACACTGTGAAGAATGCACTGTATGTATTTCCCTTCCTTGCCAGCAATGTAGACTTGGATTGCCATTGCCCAGGAGAGGCTTGGACTTGCTAATTGTTTTCTATGTCCTATTGATCTATTTCAATGTGAATCCTGATTAAAAAATAATAATAAGTGTTAGAAGCCCTTGGTCCTTTGTGATAGATGCTTTGAGTCAAGCTTATTGGCAGCTTTTCAGTGAGCAAAGTTAGTGCTGCTTTCACTTATTTGTGGGAAGTCTTGGCCCAGGCTGGGTGGTGTGATGGGAAGAAAGGCTCAAGAGAGCTCATCAGCAGAAAGCACATTATTAGAGGAAGCCCTTGGATGGAACGTCAATGCCTTTGTCCCTCTCCAAACCACTTTTACAAGCATCATATTCTGCTTCATAGTCTGTAACACCATCATTGTTGGTGTCAAAATGCCCCCACTATTGGACCACATAATGAACTGCCTTAACCTTCTTTCTCAGGGGTTTGCTTTGTTTTGTTTTTCCACTATTGGACCACATAATGAATTGCCTTTAACCTTCTTTCTCAAGGGTTTTTGGGGTTTTTTGTGTGTTTTTTTAAATCGTCAGGGGTTATTTTTAAGTTGGTAAAAGGTATAACATTTTAATCAGACAAGATGTACCTTTCAAAAATATTAAGAATTACAAAGGTATGTTTGATGTCATTGAGTTGGAACCAATGCACAGCTGATCCTCCAGTAGGTTTTCAGAGGTTTTAACTCATATGGAAAGAGAGAACTCTGATGACATGATCCATGAGGAGTTGCACTGTAAACTCACAGGCCACACCTCACTCGCTCGCCTACCCTTCAGAACTGGCTCTGAGGGAGAAAGATGGGAATCTCCTTCAATGTGATTCACCATCTCAGAAAACTGTGGGAGTGTCAGCCTGTGAGTCAGTTCCCACTTGATGGTAATGAGTGAGTGGTGTGTGTGTGTGTGTGTGTGTGTGTGTGTGTGTGTGTGTGTGTAAAGAGAAGAAGGTGGTATAGAAAGAAGAGGGGGAGGTGAGGGGGAAAGAGAAGAGGAAGGAGGGAGGGGGGAGGGGGGAAGAAAAAGATATACCAGTTTCATTGACTTGACTTGACTGGTGGCTTAGTAGTAAGAAGCTGTACTGCAATCCAAAGGCATACAGTTTGAATTCACCAGCTCCTCTGCAGAAGGACAGAAGGTCGGACAATCTCCTCTCCTGTGTTTTACTGCCTCTGAAAACCCAAAGGAGGGGCAGCTAAGAGTCAATTCTGACTCAGAGGTATTCAGTAACAACAACATGCTACAGTTAGCTCATATTTTCTTACTAAAATCGAGTTGCCTGAGAATCATAGTGACCCTATGTACAATAACTGTGATCTCTGCTCTATTCTAAGCCAGTCTCACTGTGTGCAACACACATATACCCATTACCCCAGTTACTCTGTCAATCCGTCTCATCTGGTGTCTTCCTCTCCTGTGCTATCCCTCTACCCTTCCAAGCATGATGTCCTTTTCCAGGGAATGATCCCTCCTGTCCACATGGCCTAAGTATATGAGACAACGCTTCAAAATCCTTGCCTCCAAGGAGCAGCCTAGTTCCTCCTCTCCAGGTTAAATCTGTTTGTTCTCTTGACAGTCCATGGTATGTTCAGTTCTCTTCACCACCACCATAGAAGAAAGGTGGTTGGTCATTGTCCAGCTTTTGAATACATAACAAGTAATTGCAAAGATAATGGCCTGGATTAGGCACACCTTAGTCTCCAGACTGACATCATTGCTCTACAGCACTTTCAAGAGGTTCTTGACAGTAGCCTTCCCCAGAGCAATTTGTCTTTTAATTTCTTGACTATGGAGCAAAGCAAGCAGTAGTTGTTAACAACCTCAATCTCTTTCCATCTATCATGGTGCTTCCAATTGGTCTAGTGTTGATAATTTTTGTCTTCTTGATGTTGAGCTTCAATCCATGCTGAAGACTACAGTCCTTGACCTTCTGCAGCAAATACTTCAGGTCCTCCTCCATTTCTAAACCCCATCACTTTGAAATTGTTTTACATTTTACCAGTATTGATGCACCAGAGTTTATTTCCATATGTTATATCCATATTGTAGAAATACTATCTAGGGGGGAGTGTGTCTGTCTGTCTGTCTGTCTGTCTGTCTCTCTCGTCAAATGTTCATTCAATGACTTCATATTGGTAGCTTGAAACTGGCTGTTGTAAGAGTTTCCATCACAGAAATTAGTAAGCTAGCAAATCAACCCCCCTCATCCTCACTGCTGAATTTCCTATTAATCTTTTACCAGTATTCCAGTGCAATCTTCTGAGGCACAGCAGATAGAGACACCGATAGATTCCTCCATTGTTTCCTTAGAGTGCCGGATCAGTAGAAAGAAGAGCACTTATCTGTCTGTCTGAGTCTTCCAAATCACGGGCTGGCTCTTTTATCTCCAGTATATAATCACCACACCATTCCTACCTTTCTTTCTCTTCTTAAAAAAAAAATGTGAAAAGATCCCTTAAAGGAAAAAAGGACCTACCATCAACCCTTAGGTTTAAATATAATGCTAATCCCTTTAGGAAACAGACATATGATCATGAAATAAACAAGCGTTCAGGGTCTAAAATTAGTAGATAAAATCGTTTTCACTCCATAGGAAATGTGTCCTATGATTAGGACATTCAAACCCAGCTCTTTTCTTTGCTCTCCAATTTTGGCAGCCTGTTGCAGCATTTCAGAAAGAAAAAATAAAAACATAGCCTAATAAAGAACAGTGACCTTGATGTGTCTGAAGAAATTTTGTTGATAAATGCGAAACACATGCCCATTAGGACATAGTTCTGTGCTACTATCATAAGTCCTTTTACTGAGAGTATATTAGCATTGGGGATGGGAACAAAGCAAAAAAGTAAATATGAAGATAGATTCTGTAAATCAAAGTAAATAATGTAGACGTTTTACATAAAATAAAAAGAGGGAAAATGAACTAGCTCTCTAAATATTAGATTATCTAAAGCAACACTGTGTCCTTGTATGTGACACAAAGAAAATGGTTAATGAAATCAATACAGGCACCAATCAGATCATTCTAGACAGACCTCTGAATTAGACAACAGACTAACTTTTTTGTGAGCATGGTAAATATATATCTCCCAATTCTTTTTCTTGTTCTCTAACCTTTGTTTACTACATCCTGAAAGCCACCAGAGCTCATATGTACATAAAACACTAATTATGTTCATCTTTATCCATCTCCAAATTATACCCACACCCTAACACGAGTTCTGTGCTCCCTAAACTGTCAGTCCTCCCGCCCTCTCGCACCCACCCCTGGTAAACACTGATAAATTCTTTTCTCTGAATACTTGCCTGTTCTAGATGTTTATAAAATTGGGATGATGTGCTTTCTGCAACTGACTAATTTCACTCGTCCAGGTTATTTTCATTGGCAAGTTCATTGACCCAGGTAAGCGTGTAGAGTTGATTGTATTTGCAGGAAGAGAAGAATTGAGTTGGGACAGCCCTATGGAAAACTGTCCTTCATAACTGAGTCCTGGACATCTACCAGGTGTGCCCGGCCCTCCTCTGTCAATGGTGCTCTGCACCTGCCCCAAAGTGCCCAAAATGACAACCTATCCTGGCCTAAAGCAAATTTTCACTACCATGTCCTAGTTGAAGCAGTGATGTCATTTTTTTTTTCTCCTAAATTAAGTTTAGAACTCTGGTGGCATCCTAATTAAAGCATCTACTGCTAACTAAAAGGCCCTTGATGCTAACCTTTAGGAAGCCGTGGTGGCTTAGCGGGTAAAGAGCTGCACTGCCAGAACAAAAGCAGGCAGTTTGAATCCCCAGCCTCTGTAAGGGAGAAAGATGTGCAATCTCCTCTTGTGGATTTGAAAGGAAACCTACTGATGCTTCAACTGCAGTGGGTTCTGAATGGGTGGCAATAAGTGTGAGTTTTATGGTGCTAACCCACCATCCACTCTGCAAGAGAAGGATGAAGCTATCTACTTCCATAAAGATTTATAGCACTGAGGAATAGACTTTGCAAAATAGTATAAAACATGGGAGAGTCTAGAGAGTATTATGCTGAGTGAACTAATTCAGTCTTATAAGGACAAATATTGCATATGGCCATCATTGTAAAAATTAAAGGATAACTAGTGAGATGTGTACAGATGTCCAAAAGGGGAAAGGATAGAAAGAAAAATGGGTGGAAAAAGAGGGAAAGTGGAAAACACAAGTATAACCGGGATTAGTGTGCAGCTTCAGGTGAAGGAGTGAGGAAATGGGAGAGATTCAATGAGGACTTGAAAAGATGGTGTAATGATAGGTATAAATCAATGGTAATTAGTTATATGACGTATAGTGTATATGAATGATTGTATGAAGTACAGTGTAAATGAGGAATTGTATGGAATGCAATATATATGAATGAAACACAATGTAAATTAATTATTCTATCAAAATCAATTAAATAAGTTTTTAAAAATGTTTACAGACCTGAAAACCCTATGGGCTCTGTCTCTACCCTGTCCTGCAGGGCAGCTGTGGTTCAGAATCTACCTGATGGTAGTGGATGCATCTTTAAATGGAAAAATAAAAAATTCTTTGCAACAATTTTTAGCAGATTATATCACATTCAATTGCTTACATGGAATCATTGTGGGTAAAATTTTACCAACATCACCAAAAACATGGATTATTTAATACTTTAATTCCATGTGACAGTTTCATGTCTATTAAAATCTGGATTTCTTTCTAAGCCCATTAACTTGAAATTTAAGGGGAAAGTTAGTGTTAACAGATCTTTTAATAGTTGATTATATTTTACAGCTGTTTATGTTGAATAAAGGTCAAGATGTTGCAATGATACAAGATGTCTTAAACAGCAGAGCTGATGCTCAAGCTGAAGCCACATTGCATAAAAAAAAACATTAGTAAAAAAAAAAAGCCTGTTAACCTTTGATATTCATATAACCTCTGAGAACCAGTCTAATTGATTTTTTTTTTTAACTAAGACAACACATTTCAGTGTTACATAAAGAAAATCTCCAGAGATTCATGTGGTAAGGGAGCCTGTCAGTTTTATAAAATTAGTTGGAAACTGACTGGGAGAAGAACTTCTCCTCAGATGACCTTACGCAGCCCAGCTTGAGGGTAAATTGGATCTGTCAGCAGAGCTGAACGGCCCTGTTGAATCTCCTCCACACAGGCAACCTTCCTGTCGCCTTCATTTGAGGCCCTGGGGGATGGGAGACATGTATCTTCAAGACCAAGTGCTCAGGCCAGAAAAGCTATGATGTGGTTGTTCCTGTTGCTTGGTATTGGATATGAGTCAGTTCAGTTGTGATGATTTTAATAGTATGAGCTTCAAACAGTAAACATCTTCACGAGTGGAATCACCTGAGCATGTTTTCTTCCTAGGTGGGCTACTGGGGCCTGGGAAATCATCTCCACGGATGTGTCCCCTGTGACTGTGACATTGGGGGTGCTTATTCTAACATGTAAGTTGGTCAAAGGAAGTATTGTGATAACGTTCCTCATTCACGTTTCTACATCTAAGCCCGCTTGATTCTGATTTGGCCTTATTCATAGGTGAAGGATTTTATTCGATGGCAAACAAAGGACTCTGGTAGACAATAATCTAGAAACCCAGCTGGATTCTTTTACTTCCACTATCTCCCAAGGGTGGCACCCAATTGTCTATGTATCTCACAGACTGATATGTAAAAAGATAGTTGCCACTAAGTCAAGGACCTTGTGTGGATCAGACTAGGACACTGCTGTATAAGATTTTTCAATGACTGATATTTTTCAGAAGTTGATCACCAAGTATTTCTTCCAAGGTACCTCTGGGTATACTCAAACCTCCAATCTCCTGGTTAGCAGCCAAGCACCGTAACCATTTGCAGCACCCAGGGATACTCAAGTGCTACGTAAAAGCCTGAAAATGTGTGACTTGACCCGTGAGAACACCAGCTCCTTGTCATGCTGTGAGGAAGTCTCCACCCTCTGCTCCCCCACATTTTCTCCACAAACTAAGGGAGCCACTGAGAACAGAAGAGGCTGAGTTCTAAGGGTCTTGATTTATTTATGTTTCAAGACCAGACATGTTGAACTCATGACCTCTCCATATTCTCTTACAAGATGCTTGACTTGGTTCAACCTCAGGAAACACTGGGCCTAGCCCTCACTCCTTCATTTTGCACTTGGCCTGTCCTGCCTCCTGCCTTTTCTCATAATAGATGTTTTTCCCTCAGGTGCTCCCCAGAAGACGGGCAGTGTGAATGTCGCCCCCACATCACGGGCCGCCGCTGCACAGAGCCAGCCCCCGGCTACTTCTTTGCTCCTTTGAGTTTCTATCTCTATGAGGCAGAGGAAGCCTTGCCATTACAGGGACTCATGCCTCTGGTTCGTATTTCACCCCTTCTCATTAAAAGACTGCCATCTGATGGAGGACCTGTCAGTAAATCCAGACGATACACCTTTGAGATCCTTGTTACGATACCTGGGAAGGAATGCTTTTGTCCCCAAACACTGATCCAAGTAGAGTTCATTGCATCATGGGAGTATTGACCATACAAATACTTGAGGGCAGAGCCTGTGTTTTGTTCCTCTCTGAATCTCAGCACCCTGCTCGTGGAAGTGCAGCACATAAATGTGGGTTGAATTAAATTGTAATGACACAGACTGGGCTAGAGCTCTTTAATGTGCTTACCAAGTATTCATTTATCTGCCTTCTCCACAATAATCAGCTATACAAAGGCAGGGAACACTAGAATGGAGCTCACCATTGTTGAACCAGTGCCTAGCACAGAAACTGACATGCAGCACGAGCATATCTCTATCTATCTAATGGCTGAGTGAAGCGTGTAGTAGGGAAAGTGCCCTCCAGTCTCCGAAAGCTGGGTTTAGATTAACTCTTCATAAATTGTGAGAGTCGCCACAGGAGTAATGCTTTCTAAAAATCTGGTTAAGGGAGCAACACACAGGAGACAATTAGAGAAAGCACTAAAATACGTGTTGTTGTTGCTGTTGTTGTTGTTGTTGTTATTGGGTACCACAGAGTCAGAACCGACCCATAGCTGACCCTCCAGCAGGTTTTCAGAGGCAGATAATCCTATAGGAGGAGCTTGCCCATCCTTCTGCTGCAGAGCAGCTGGTAGCTTCAAAGGCATTCTAAGGTTCTCAAGTGAGAATCCACTTAGAAACAGAGACTGGACAAGAGGAAGCCTCCACAGAGAGAAACAATAAGGAGTCAGTTCTGAAGTCCAAATGAGGAGACATAAAGAACTCTCTGTGCCTTGTCTGTTGCTGAGCAGGGTGAACACACCCTGGAACTTGCTGTGTTAGTGACCAGAAGGAAGGCAGAAGCAGGAAACTGTCATGCTGCCTCTTAACACAGCTGTGGTGCGTGGAAACTAAATTTAATTGTCCTGTGCCTCTAACCTTCGTTGTTGTTGTGGTTATGTGCCGTTGAGTCGCTTGCGACTCATAGCAACCCTATATGTACAACAGCCCTAAACTCTGTCTGTCCTGTGCCAATCGCACTGCCTCCGACACTCCTCCCATCCTAATTACCCTAGTCACTGAATCAATCCACCTCATAGAGGGTCTTCCCCTCCAGCGCTGTCCCTCCACCCTCCCAAGCATGATGTCCTGCTCCAAGGATCGGTCTCTCCTTACAACATGTCCAAAGTATGTTAGATGGAGCCTCAGAATCCTTGCCTCCAAGGAGCCACCCAGTTTAACCCTTTCCAGGATGAATCTATTTGTTTTCTAGCAGTCCATGGTACTCTCAATACTCTTCTCCAGCACCACAGCTCAAAGGCATCAATTCTCCTTCTATCCTCCTTGGTCATTGTCCAACTCTCTGATGCATAACAAGTGATTGTGAAGACCATGGCCTGTATCAGACGCACCTTAGTCTCCAGAGAAACACCATTGCTCTTCAGTACTTTGGAGAGGTCCCTAACAGCAGACTTTCCCATTGGCAATGTGCCTTTTAATTTCCTTCTTTAGGATATTTAAAATTATTTATGATGCTGACTGGGGGGGAAAATGGAAAGAAATATTGATACTTATTTCCAGGTCATAAATACTAGTTTCTATTTTTTTTCCAGAGAGAAATCATGACACAATTCTCTAAAAACATTAGCGTCCCTGAGTGGTGCAAACAGTGGAAGCCTTGTGGGCAAGGAGTTGTGTTGCCAACCCAAAGGCCAGTGGTTTGAGTCCACTAGTTGCTCCATGGGAAAAAAATGGACAATATCCTCCTATAAAATTTACAACCTCTGAAAAATCCCCTGGGGAGTTGGCTGTGTGTCAGTTCTGACTTGACAGGGCATAACAACAATTAGAACACTAACTGAAAGGTTAGAGATTCACGTCCACTAAGATGTGACTCCTAAGAAAGGCCTGGTAACTGCTTCCCAGCCATTGAATACTCTATGGAGCACACCTCTACTGTGATGCACACAGGTTATTCCGAATCAGAATTGATTCAAGGCCAGTTGGGGTTTTTCTTGTTCTAGTTGGTTTGTCTCCTGCTTATTATTTATTCAGTATGTTTGCGTGAGTAGTGACAAGGATTCAACAGGACAATATCACTTGTGATGACACAGGTTTGAGCCAGTTAACCTGGATAGAATGTTTAAGACAAGGTAGGAGTCTATTCTTAGGGATCACCCTTGATTTAGTAAAGATTTAAAGCATTAAAAAAAACAAAACAAAACCTATGGGGAATTTCCAATGCCGTTTGGGAGGTACTGCTCTCTTTCTTACAGAAACAACTTGTGAAGACAGATTATTTGGATGAGAGAAACTATACTTCTGTCAATACAGGGGTCAATGTGACTGGCCAATTGCTTGGCAATGACTCTTTCGTCCCAGATATACCATTAGTCTTTTTGTATGTCAGTATCTAGACAGGTTAAACATAGTACAGGCATCATTTTAAGTATTTGAAACATCGGCATGGATGTGAATAAGCTGGACTCAATAAAAGTATTATTAACACTTAAAACATTCAAAATGGGGACCAATGGAGACAAGATGGCAAGTGAGGTTCCCTACTGCTGTACTTATTGGAAGGGGCTCAGAGTAGTCTGATAAGAGTCTTAGAAAGTTCTTTTGTCCTAGTTTTCCATTTCATCAATTTTAAGGAAGAATAAATAAGGCTACATAAGGTTGCTTACCCGTGAAGCCCTCAGGTGGAGGTGATAATGTTTCACAAGGATGTACTGATGGTATCCTGAACCTCAGAGGTCAGACGGCTTTACCAATTACAGATTTATCACAAGAAGCTAGTTTCATGGAATAGCTTTACTCCTTTTTCACTAACCCTTGAAGTATCACTTCAGCACTGCCTTAGTTCCCATATGCTGCTATAACCAAAATACAAGAAATGGGTGGTTTTAAAGAATTTAAATTTATTTACTCACAGTTCTGGAGGATAAAAGTCAATATTAGGGTCTTGGGTTGTGGTGCTAGCCTAAAGTTGGGTTGGTTTTCGGTGGGATTTTTCAGCCATTACCTCTGGTCTCCAGCTACCTTAGCTGCAGAACAAATGTGCAGATCTTGCAAATCAGCATGGTCTTGCTAATCATCTACAGCTGATGTAGCAAGAGAAGGAGAGCACTTTCTACGCTAAAGGGTATGGGGAAAAACCAACACGGGAGCAGCAGCATGACTGAGTTTAAGCTTCCTGCTGCATCCAACCTGACCCATTACTTACCAGTTACTACCAAAAACCCCAGCCTGCGTACCTACGGTCATGTGACTCATAACCCTTGAGGGGTCTGAGTCTCTGAAGGACCTTCTAACAAATCTTCAAATCCACGAACATAGAGGAATTGGGAAATGGAGCCAGAGATGGAGGTGTTAGTGGAAAGAATGGACTTACACAACTGGTTAAGCATTTGGGAGTACCTTGACCTGAGACTTCTCATAAATAGCCTAATATTAACCTTAACAGGACAAATTATAGAAACATGGCTATTGAGAATACTGCCTCTTTCATGGTTTACAGGTTCCACATGGGCATAATTATGTGTTCTGGAATGCCTATTCTACAAAATATTATTCATAATTTATGAATTATTAATGCTGAATGCCTTTGCATAGTCAACAAAACTAAAGCAAATAACTTAAACCCATATGTTAGGGGAACACAATGCAATTCATAAATTACTTCAACTTTCTTTATTTTCTTTTCTTTTTAAGATACTAGCAACAGCTTGGCCTAAATGTGATGTCTATATTCAGCAACGAAGAAATGGTTTCACAATTGATAAAGGAAATATAATACTGAGGAGAAATCAGAAACAAAGCGTACATGCTGACAAGCAAAATGAGGTAAACTGTTTTCTTAATTGTCAGAGAGCACCAAGTTCAAAATAATTAGAACCCCTGTTGTTGTTATGTGCTGTTGAGTCACCTGTGGCTCATTGCGAACCTGTATACATAGCTCTGTAGCCTGCCCTATCCTGAACCCGTTTCATTGACTCTGACACACCTACCCCCATTGCGCTAGTCACTGTATCAGACCATATCCTCTGGCGTCTTCCTCTCTTGTGCTGTCCCTCCACCCTTCTGAGAATGATGTCCTTCTCCGGGATCAGTCCCTCCTGGCCACATACCCAAAGTATGTAAGCTGGAGCTTCAAAAATCCTAGCCTCCAAGGAGAAACTTGGTTTCACACTCTCTAAGATAGACCTATTTGTTTTCTAGGCAGTCCAAGGTATGTTCAAGATTCTTTTCCAGCACCACAACTCAAAGGCATCTATTCTTCTTCTGTCATCATTAGTCATCGTTCAGCTCTCTGAAGCATAGCAAGTAATTGCAAAGACTGTGGACTGGATTAGGCACACGTTAGTCTCTAGACTGACATAGCTGCTTCTCAGAACTCTGGTAAGGTCACTGGCATCAGATTTTCCCAGTGCAATTCATCTTTTAATTTCCTGACTGCTGTTGCCAAGAGTGTTTGTGGAGCCAATCAAGCTGTAATTATTAACAACCTCAGTCTCTTCATCCATCATGGTGGGTGCTGCCAATTGGCCCACTGATGAGAATCTTTGTCTTCTTGATGTTGAACTTCAATCCATATTGAAGATGACAGTCCAGGACCTTTTGCAGCAAGCTTTTCAGGTGTCATCTGCATATCGTAGGCTGTAGATGAGTCTTCCTCCAATCTTGATGCCCCATTTTTCTTCATAAAGCCTAGCTTCCCGAATGATCTGTTCTGCATACAAATTGAAAAGGTATGGAGACAGGACACATCCCTGACATACTCCCTTCCTGATTTTGAACCATGTAGTGTTTCCCTGCTCTGTTCTGCGGACTGCTTCCTGGTCCAAGCATAGCCTTCACATAAGCACAATCAAGTGTTCTGGGATTCCCGTTCTTCTCAAGGTTAGCCACAATTTGTTGTGATCAAGCACTAGGGAAAACTTTTTCATTTTGGTGGTCTAGTGACAAGAAGCTGCACTGCAGTCCTGAAGGCACATAGTTCAAGGCCACCAACTGCTCTGTGGGAATAGGATGGGCAATCTCCTCCTGTGGGATTAACTGCCTCTGAAAGCCTGCCAGAGGGTCAGCTATGGGCTGGTTCTGACTCTATGGAACTCAACAACAACAACAGGGAAACTTATGCCACTTGATCCCTTCTCAAAAATTTCAGGAAAGCTGGATACTGGAGGGTTGGAGAATTGAACACAATTATGTTGTTTTTATGTGCCATTGAGTCAACTTCAATTCATAATGGTCTGGTAATGGCCTGATGTGCAATAAAACGCTGGCCAATCCTATGCCATCTTGTGCTGAAGTTCATTGTTGTAGCAACTGTACCAATCCATCTCATTGGAGGTCTTCTTGGTACTTTACTAAATATGCTATTCTTTTTTAGGGATTGGCCTGTCCTGATAACATGCCCAAAGTATGGAGCTCTGTTTGTTATTTTAGTTAAGAGAGGGATAATGTTCAGGAAAGCTCTCCTCTTGCTTGGAGTGAAAAGGAGACATGTCTTCTGGGAGTGGAGCCACGGCCACCAGGTTGTTGCTGTTTGTCAATGTCGGTCCAAGTGTCCAGAAGATGCAAAGTGCTTCAGTCCCCTGTCTCCAATGGCTTCAGAAGCCCAGAGTTGACCGCAAGGCCTGATGACATTCCAACAGGGAGACACTCAGCACCTGGTCCATTTTGGACCTGTTTGCTCAGTCTTTTATTTGTTCCCTTGGTAGATCTTTATTGAGCCCTTTTTGCACATATTCAGAGATGTATGTTAGAGAGGCAAAAGAGTAGTCAGGATACAAAACAGTCCTTATACAAATCAAGGAGTTCCTGGATTGTGCAAACAGTTAACACTGATATCTGCAAACTAAACAGTAAGAAAGGCCTAGCGATACCTTTCCAAAAACAATCACATGAAACAGTCTAATCTCTGGCAACTAGTTTTTAGACATGGAGCCTGCCCTTAAGACCTGTAGCAGTGGCGTCGCTAAGATTAATGTCACTCATGATGTCACCCACCCCCTGCACTTCCTCCTGAACCAGACCACACAGAATTCTTAGCAATGTTCAGTATCAATTGTAATCATCAAATAACACATAATTGATTTAGTGACTAAAAACACCAGCAATCATGGGGAAGAACAAGCCAGAAAATCTGACAAAGTCAGTAACTAAAAATATCTGTAACAATGAAAACCAGTTTTAAGGGTACGATTCAGCGATATTCGTTATATGCATAATGTTATGCAACCAGCACCACCATCTGCTTCTGTGACAGCCCTTGGAGAATGCTGGAAATAACTCATTTAGAAAACCCATACTTAAGACCAACTCTGATTTATCTTTCCCCTTACTTTCTCTGGCATCTCCTACCCTCCCATCTGGACATAACTAATTGTTTCCATCTCTGGGGTCTCATAGGTCAGAAATTTTCAAGCTGCAGGTCATGCCTAAGGGTCATGAAATAGATTCCGTGGGTCAATCTAGAACAAAACAGAAGGACATATAATACAGGCAGATTTTTCTTAAAATTTGACTCAGAGTGTGTGTGTGTGTGTGTGTGTGTGTGTGTGTGTGTGTGTG